GAACAGCGAGGGGAAACTTGTATGATTATAGACGATGCCACATTGTGCAAGCTGGTAGATAGGCGATTAGCTACGTTTCCACTCGGCCTGGTCGTCGATATCGATTCCTTTTTCTATCTTTCTTTGTTGCGGCATGTAATGGTCGGTATTTTCAGCTTTATCGCTGGATTTGGACAGCAGAAAGCTTCGCTGTCATATTTTTCGTCTTTCATGGTCCGCCTACTAGAGAGATGGATTGACACATCACAATTCCATGTAGTCTGCCCGAGGCTATACCATAATATTAATACTACTGAAAAGTAGTCATGCTCGTACAACAGAAAAAGTGAACGAAGTAGAGAAACTTCAATATTCTTCCTCTAATTCTGATTAGGCGAATAGTCATTACTTCATTCTAGAGAGGTAATCCAAGATCTAGAAGTAGAAACATGGGGGATGGCATGTTGTTTTTTTTTTAAATATCGTATGTATGGTTTAAATGATACGAAAACGGTCACATTTCAACCTGACGTAAAAAGCCTTCCTGGCTAGTCGCGAGGCAGCGCTTTTTTTTTTAACTCAAACTATTTCTATTGTTGGCCATGCTCATTGTTCCTATTCAGATTTCAGTTCTGTTATGGCAGCTCTGCTTGAAGGTAGTTTAGGTCATTTTTTTAGTTATCCAAAATGCTTTTTCTTTTCCTCTCCGTCTACTGATTGCTTTCCAAATAAGTGCATCTCTCTCTGTCCCACAAGGATGAATGTGCTGCTCTTTCGGTTACCGCACTATCACTTGTCGCTTTAGGAAACCTTAAAAAACTCCAATAGATGGCAAAAAACAAACATTTTTTTACAGACGACTACTTATAGTCGGCTATAAATAATGCCGCTGATCGGACCGAGAACACGCTTAAGCTTTTAGGTAAAGTTCGAAAGCGGAAATTTGCCTAAACGTTAATACTGCGCGTCATATGTCCCGCTATAATGGAAATTTCTCAGTAAAATAAATCATCGTAAGTTGGGATTTTTTTTCCGTCGGAAAGGTTGGTCGATACAGGATGGATTTAACGTTTTGTGTTCATTATAACATTGGAGATAACTTAAAGCAACGTCCGACCTCACATCGGATTCGTAAAAAATAGGATTTCGAAAAGAATATTTGCACAGGTCGTTGCAATCCCGCAATGAGGCCCGTCGCAATACAGATGCTTTATACGAGCTATTGGCCAAACTGGTTTGAACAGGAAACATTTCAGGAGAGTGCGGACGGAGCAAACAGTGCTCAGGTAGTACGCTATCGCCAATGTACGCGTCAAAGATCTAACGCAAGCCATATCAAGCCGTAAACGATTACCGTATATTCTCAGGGGACCTTTAAAAGCGTCACTTCAAAATGCATGTTTGGGAATGATATACCGTGTTTCCAAAAGAAGCTTTTGAAGAAGCATCTGATGTAAACGTACTAGTGGAGCTGGAGGCATTGATTATAGGAATGGCTTGTACCACTTGGCCACCAGGTTGTACAAGCTATTCCTAGATAAACTGCACGATTGGCTAAACATGTACATCAGGGGGCTACAAACCTGTGTTAACTTAGTAGATAATCTTTTCCTTGTGTTCAAGTATATACCGTATTTTTCCACCCGGAAGACAGGCACAGAGACGCATGTTGAACTTGTTTTTTTCCAACAACAGTTTACTGTCCTGTTAAGATTTTTTTGCAACGACCTCTGCTCAATCTTATTTTTGATATATCTGTCTCAAAACACTGAAAAAAAATGTAATAGAAACAGGTAAATAGTAAATTTATTACCTAAAAAAGAGCAACACGTTCCTACGAGATTCGTTTTGCGTATGGCGGCTCATTGTACCTACTTCGGTAGATTGCTTTTTCCTTGATAATAATTGAGCAGATCAGTTGTAAGTTCTACTCATATCCAATAGCTGACCTCTGCGTAACACACAACACTTATTTACAAAGTTTTCATTAGAAAACTTAGACCATTCGTTTTCCAGTTAGCCCTTATTAGCTTCCATCTCCAGCCCAGACTGTGTTAGCAGTCGAGAGCAACTATTGGCAGGAGTCTGTATCCGTAAAATGTCACTTCTGCATGTGCTTCATGGACTGAATCCCGCACATCGTGTGAGAAATTCAAAAGACAACTAGTAGTAGTATCACGCTATAAGCGTACCCTGCGAACTTACCTCTTACTAGGTCTTAGATGCATTACTGTTATTTTTATTGGAATAGATGCTTATTCATATGCTAACGTCTCTCACTTCAGAAAAGGGTTTCCTCCATGGCGCATATAGGCTACCGCTGCTGGTAGTATAAAGCGACCCACGAAAGTTAGTCAATAGCGCGTATCTATAGCTCATTTAAGAACAAATTTGAATGCATCCTCCGCGAATTTTATAACGTCTCATTCACCAGCTCTTCACTTTGCCAGTTTTATAAACGTGAGCGAAGACTGTTCTTCTTCCAGATGCCTACTTTTTCCAGATCTCCGGGAAGTGTGTTGAAATGACGAGAATAAGTTTCTCACTGCCAAGTGAAAACTAAAAAACTGCGAGCGGGGATTCCCGTTGATGAATACGTCATCTGGAATTTTTTTTGAACGCAATCTATCAGCTATATATATTGCTTAACAACATTTACTGTAGCAAATTCAAATTGCCATTCTATATATGGTTTCTAGTTGTGCTTCAGAGCGCGTACCGTTCATACGTCCATCAAACGACATGGCCTTCATGTACCACAGACTGTCATGATTACGCACAAAACTACTCAGAATGAGTGACGCTTTGTTATTGCTATTATTATTATTGAATGAGTCCAACTCTGCAATTGAGATGTAGAAATAGAGAAAATTACAAGGGACAAGCAGCAATCAAGTACAATCTCACTGCGCGCAACATGAACTGTACAATACTTTATTGTTTAGCAAAGATTTTTGTTGCTCAGTAATCAGTGTGTATCGCAACAACTTAAACGATTGAAGATTACTAACTCCTATAAGCAGAATAAACAGTCACCACTCTTTAGCCATACAGCTAACTCACGAGTGAAAATACAGAGAAATTTCGATTACGTATTTTCCGCGATTGGCGCTCGGTGCAAATAATAAGCTGCGCCTCGCTAGGTGGCCTTGAGAGGACCACAGGTCCAGCCGAAGATTCGGTGCTCACAATGGCAAAACGGGCTTTCGTTCTATTCAGGAACAACGGGTGGCTCACTGACGAGTGTAGCGGTATAGTGTTTAGGCGATCTGGCGTATTAAAAAAGTTTGTTTGACACTCCGAAAGAGTTCCATTCTACACTTTGCGATACGTTCCCCAGGAATCAGCTATATACTAATGCGTAAACATCGAATCTACAGAAGGATTATAAGGAATATCTACGTTATCCTTCCGTAGTAATTGCAACGGACTCCAATTACCGTCAAAAGCTACGACCTCCTGGCGTCCTTGACCGGCATGTTTCTATCTTGTGAAATTAGGAAATGTAGACGTTTGCGCGTAATGGTGAGCAGGCCTGTCTGGAGTACTCCACGCTCATTGAGCAGAACGAGTTTTGTAGGGCTTTGTAATTATATGATACGGCCGCTTCCCATCCATAACACAACACATCATGAAATGACAACCTAAATTCGTTCTACAAAATGTGAGTACACATATAGTTTTTTCAAAACCTTTTGTCTATTGAAGTCAGACAGTGTAAACAGTGTCTCATTAGTACATCGTTTACTTCGCTATAGCCTTTCAACAAAGAAATAACAGTTATACGAAAATTCGAGTATCCTTATTGATTATATAAACATTCTGACCCAAAAAATATTCGGTCTAAGCGTGGCTGGTGCTATAACGGTTACATTTCTTATCTTTGTTTGCAGATAAATAAGTTTGCGTAAGTAGTGTATTATGGTAGGGCGAACACCGTTAAATACCGCCATTTTGATTCATATTTAAATAGACCAGGGACAACTTCGAATCGAATTAGACAAAACAATATCATTGATTCATGCATGATTTCGGAGGGATATTTCAGTTAAGGCCGTCAATACGAAGAAGCAGGAAATAATGACTGTAAAACAGAGGATCTGCTATGCCATTCAGCTTTTCATTGTTTACATTCGAAGGCGATCGAGTAGCGCTGGCGGAAAATTTATGAACTATGGTTCTGAGATTGTCAGCAGACGAATGAGTAGACGTATCGCCTGTATCATATCGGTACGTGATCGTTAGACGAAACAAAGCTGACGTCAAAGTGAAGCCATTTAATAGAGTAAGAAAGCTACGTAGTCGGGGCTGATGTATGGAAAGTGAGATTTCAGGAGCACAAAATCTGTGCGCATGTTACGACTGACGTCCGAACTTCAGGACTGAAAGTGATTATATAAATTCTCTGAATTGTAAAAAAGAAAAAAAAAAAAGGTGCCGACGAAAGGCTTGCGGCTAACGGTTATTAGTGAAAATGTGTTTAGTCGCTAAATTTAGATGCCTAATTTTAAAGGTGACATAAGTGATAAGAACCAATGTTATTGGTCTTTCGATTTTCTGTAAGTATATAGTAAGATAACAATATGCGATTTGGAAAACGAAAGAAAATTATCTACGCAGATGTTAAAATCGTAGAGGTTTTGCGAAATTTCCAGCGAAGCTTGCATGTCCGTTCTAGGCTAGCGGATATGTAAGCTTTGTGTATTCTTGAGTCTCACTTAGAGGAAGACAAAACCTCATTTTAGCTTCCAGTACTGCACTATTAACCCCTAGCAATACACCTCCTAATTTTGTTGACAGATTTTTCCATGTAAGAGTAATTTCGGTTTTGTTGACGAAAAACTGTCGGTTAAATCGACGAAGGTAGCTTTTTTTTTTTGTTAGAAAATACTGTTCTTTTTCACACTCGAATACGTCTAAGCTCCCAGTTATTAGCACTAAGCAACACCCTATAGATGCAGGTGACTGAAACCCCAACTATGCCAGTTTTGGTCAAAGGTCTCACTTAGCTGTCTACTTACAGCACACAACGACTTGAGTGCCTGGAGATATTCCTGCGCCCATGGCCATTCAGCTCAAGTGAGCATTTCTTGCTTATCCGTCGTCATAAGCAAACGTTATTCACAGTACACACTTCACCATAGTATATACTATAGTATATATAGTATATATATATAGACACCCGAGATCAAAGTGAATTCAAAAACAATCCAAAAACAGCACTCTCAAGGAGCAAACAACAAGGTTTGGGTTACTCCGATTCGGTCTGAAACGCGTATAGGTCATCACTTCACGCGGCGGCTTCGCTGAATCGGTTGTACCACAGAGTATTATTATTACTTAGGGAAGCACTCGATACTTCACCAAGACTTGACGTATGCTTCGCACATTTGCCATGGACACGATGTACAGTCGTGGTTACCCACTAAATCGCATGAGACGAGAAACTTTTTCACCCCCTTTATTAACACGAAACTATAAATTTAAAGTACTAGTAGACTTAGCATGTGATTGAAATGTACATCTTAAGCCAAACGCACCGACACAAGTAGACAGACAGACAGACGGCCGTACGTACGTTATGGATCCAACGTGAGCAATGTATGTCGGAGTATAGCACTACAAGCGTCTTGTTCGATGTGTGCCATAATTTAAACGATAAACAAATGCCTGCTGTTACGTATTCATAACAATTTCTCAATAGTGCTCGTCAATTGTTTGAAGGTACTTCGTTTTAAACTCTGTTCAGTCAGTCTTTGTTTTGTTCACGAAAACTATAGAGAGGGAGCGAGATTTTGTTCTTCTACGTCTGCAATAGCCTCTTTCACTGTTGTTCTATCATCTTTGTTCCGTTCCATACGAAGTCGAACCAGACAAGCAAACTTCAAGAAAGAACTACTACGAGCGTACGTATAAGCCTTCTAGCCTGCTATCCGCGCGGACTGAGCAGCCGGAGAGGGACCTGGCAGGGAAGGCCGCGAAGACAAGATACAACGCCACCAATCACAGCGCATCACTGACACAAACAATAACAACAAACTCAACTCTGCGTCAAGCAGCGTTAACTCGCACGTTAGGCACTCCACCCGACTAGGTCCAAGCTATGCTCGGAGCTCACGTATGCTTTTCCTGTGTTTTTCTATCTTTCGGTACCGGTCTGTCAGCTCGTTGAAGTGGACCGTTCGCCTGCAGCACCAGCATCCGTCGCCTTCATCATGTCGTTTACTTCGCTTCTGTTGTCTGTCGGCCAGCTATCGACGAGCGCGCTGTGAAGACGGGGACACTGGCAACGTTTCAATTTCGAATAGTGGCGCCCCTCGCTTTTGCGGTGACTGGTCTCAACTCTTCTGCTCCGTGCTGTCGTTCTGCTGCTCTGTCTGCGTGTATCCGTCTGAGTGGCAGTTCTCCAGTGCGATAAAAGAGCGCGAGGACTGGGTCGCAATGACGAAGCGTATTGGTGCAGTGGCGGAGATAGCGGCGATTTCGCGCGGAACTGCCAACATGAAGACGTCGCTAGTAATTCGGTACGAGTTGGCTGGCTCTTGATGGGTCGGTGTGCTTCAGCAGTAGCGGCGACTTCATCGTTCGTTGCTTCGTCGGTTCGAATGGACAACTGTTTCCCTTTTCTTTTTCTTTAGCCTCTTCTCCAGCAGAAACGATCTCAGCAATAATCGACTGAGTGAAGTTTTCTACTAAAAATGATGCTCACCAGAGTCATCGTCGCCGCCGACATGGGCGCTACGACGGCGTGTCGTGGTATGCTAGAGAAAAGGCGGGATGCCAGGACCAGATCCTGCGGCGAAGGAGCGATAGGAGATAGAAGGGCCGATGCAGCCTGTAGACGAGCCGCCGCAGCAGGCAACAGTAACACGGGAGTTGCTCGATAAGTGACTGCCGCTGCCGGCGGCTCGTCTGCAGGCCGCATCCGGTACAGGGTCGTATGAAAGATCCTCTAGTAGGCTAAAAAAGGCCCAAGAGGGTTGTGTAACATATTAAATGTACAAAAAAGATTAACAGTAGATAGCTGCGGCGTTTTCCTGTTGTTGGCCGTAAGAGTGAAATAAAAACTGCGATAAAGGTAGCACTTTCGCTGGTCAACACGTTTTGCTGTCATCGTTTCTATTATTTTTCTATTTTTTTATTAAGTTCTATTGTTATCTATGCTTCATGCTGAGGTTCCCGTAAACATATAGCTTACGTTTTAGGTCACAGTATATAGATCAAAGGGGCATCGATAAGTGTGACCGTACAACCGGGCGTTTCCGCAGATGTTCTAGAAATTTAGCAATGCACTGGGTAAATGAGTAAAGGGGTCTATGGCATACTATGGTAGTGTTCATGCAAACTTGCACGGGCTTCATTGCGACTAGCTTTACTTAACCGTACGAGTCAAGTATATAATAATCCTATCGAATCCTACGAATACTACGAAGGTAGCACGCACGCTAGAACAAAACTACATAAAAAGCATGGTGTCAGTGGTCTTAGTTGGGGCATATGAGTACTCGCGTAGTTATTAAGCGAATCCGTAACGCCTTCGTCATTCTCAACATCAGCTTTATTACATAGATCATATATATACATATATATATAATCTAGTTAATAGTTTTTCTTTAAAAACCACTCCTACATTGTCGTATTTTTCCTGCTTGCGACAAGCACAAACCCGTCTGATATCTGTAGCTTAAGTTATTGAGCAACAATATCGAATCGAAGGGACCAAAAAGGTGGTCTCACAAGAACAGAGAAAGGCCTTGAGACTCCATTCTACAACAACTTTATTCTGATTTTTCTCAAGAAGGTTTTCATGTAGCTATAAATTAGAACGTAGACATTTTCCACCACATAGACAACGATCATTCGCGTCAGTCTTTTCAATTACTTTAGATATATACAGCGTTATGGTGATTGTATAATAGCTTGATGATGTTTAATATCTCTCGGGTTCCATTGCGCTGAGTGTTTGCCGCTCTAATATACCTGTGAGAAACCATTGAGCCAATTTCAGCTCATTTGGTTAAACCAGGCAAGCAAAAAAATGGCCCCTTATCGCTATTCACCCGTGTTTTTCTGTCTCTCATACTTACGTGAAGCATAACGACACCTATCGGCAAGCGCAAGAATCTTTCGCAAAGCCTTGCCATTACCACCCTACACCAACAATCTTGCTAGTTGATCTTTAGTTCAATCATGTCATTAGACGGAAACATTGAACGACGGAGTAGCCAGACACCATTAAGTACTTACAGCATCAACACAGTCACAAACAGCAAAATCAACAATACAAGCAAAAAATCCGCCATTAACTTGAGAAAGTCGACCGCTTCCCAGTCGAAAACGAGGCTGGTTAGTTTTTCTATTAGACAAGCGTGCTGAGTCCACGCCGATGCCCCGGAGCACAGATGGTGATGACACACCGTTGGTTGTGGTTCACGCGGGCGAAAATGCGGAGAATTCCGCTTCTGCAGCGACGGATGACGTTCTTGTGAGTGCTCGAGCTGGGCATGTGACACGCGATGCTGGTGGCTGGGCCGTGAGGATTTGGCCATGCGCATGGAGCCACGTATACTCATAGCTCTGCTCGAAAAGCTGTTAAATGTTGTTCCGATCCGTTCAACGTACCCTCTCTACTTAGGTTGATGTCAACGGTGCTAGTCAGTGTGACAAAACGGAAGAATGCCCCAAAATCTAACAGACGTTAAGGGCGCTGCTGGCAGCGATAGCAAAGCTGAAAAAAGAAGTTGACATTCGCCGACAACGACCGCGAGATGTTGATGGCACTTCGAGCGTGCATATATATATATGGCACTAAATGTACTGCTATATCTAAAGGACTGGTAGGGCAGTTTGCGCTAAACAATCAATGGGTGTATCAACTGGCGTGTTGTACTACCTTCTTCTCACGCGATTCCTACGTTTACATCAATTGCATTAGCTGTTCGGTCTCGAAAATGTGTGCCTGTCGTTGGTATTCACTCTTAGTGCCCGCTGTCTTCTTGATCTCGGGGGGTCACGTTCGTCGGGGTGCTGCACAATTAGTCCTACTTCAGCAATATGGCACGTTTTGTGCATGTTTTCTTGACAAGGCAAATTAGCTAGGTGAACACGGAGTATGGCTCTTGCGTCGGTGTCTTGCCATATCGACAAACGGATTTTACCGACTTATCGTTGTCATTTGCATTTAATCGGACCCAACTAGATCAGATCGCCAACTCTATGAAAAGAAATCAGATACGCAAAGCGAGAAAGTTCGATAACAGCTAATCTGTTTCTTTTGCCGTTCTGGCTTGGGTTTCCCTCTTTTCCCTTTCACATATCAGTGCGTCAAAAAAAAAACTATTTGGCTTAAAAGTTCAGCCGCTCGGTCGATCTGCATGTTATATTCGTGTCGATAGAGTACGTTAATCAGCCAAGTGTTTCATATCCGATTAGCGCCTGCCAGTAAGTAAATTTCCTTAATGTTTCACATGGCCATGTTATGGTTTCATTCAGTTCCGATGGCCACAGTGATCGGATACCCACTGCCCTTTGAACGTTGGACAACTGAAAACGATATTAGTCCGACTACCCCTACGAATACTAACCATATTTACAATTCACCATATCCGAGATGGCCTGTATTCGCTCAAAATGGATGCCAGTCTTTTCTTTGTTTACATTATGTTCAACAATAATAATCCATCGCCTTAAAAACGAACGCCATACATGTATGTCCGGAAGCCCAGTCAGACCTGACGTGATACTTGTTAGTAAAGTCGATCAGAGTGACTGGTGTCAATCGATAGATCATATCAAAAGTGAAATGCTCTATGTGTAATATACGGCACGATCGATGTCATCTGTCAAGCGAAATTTTACGATCCGAGGCATGCCCAATGGCAAGCAAGGATCCGGGCCTACAGGTCAGACAATGGGACTTACAGGTACCTTTTCAGGCACAATGGTTGTTTCATATTTTCGTTTGTTCTCTGTCGCTGGTGCTATCCTGGGCTTTCTGTTTGCGTCGATAGCGTTCTGTTGCCCAAAGCTTGTAAGCAAACAGCAATGTCGGCTTGCATTATAACTACTTAAAGTGATAAACAGATTGTCAGTCTTTAGTAAATGATGAGAATTATTATTATCAGAGATATTTTCTTCGCAGGTTATTACCCAAGCAAAAATAAACAACCAGGGAAACTTACAAACTGGGCCGTTAGACAAACCGTTTAGCTGCTTTCAGATTCTTTGGAAATTGACAGTTTTTACTTTCAAATGAAAAAAAAAAACAGTGTAACCTTTGACTATTAAGCACCGCTAGCCACCACTAAACTTACTAATTAGGCTCTCCGTTATATTTTAAACAATCTAATTAAGTTTTAGAAGGAATGCGTCCGTTGAATAGTCCTTCAGAATTGTATTTCTACTTTTTTTGAAATATGGTTCCTTACAAAACTTGCAGCTATAAAACTTCCAGGACCAACTCTCTCGCATTAAGACTAGCGGTGACACACTTGTCTATCCTCTGTTCTTATCCGAGTTTCAGCACACGATCTACGTATAAAAACGAAATTTCAATTAAAAAAAGATGTCCTTTAATAGTTTTGTTAATAAATGGCGTCCTAACAGATGTTTTGTGCTTATCAGTCTAGTACCAACTGCAACGTCCTTATTAGGTGAATTACTGCCGGAGTTCGTGGCACAGAATCCTCGTTCCGGTTTGAACCTTAGCTTATAGAACAGTATTAAACGTTTCCCCTGTTGTAAAACGTATATGTATTTAGCCTCTTCTATATATTCAAGCACAATTCAGAATGAATTGTCGGTACTGGCTTGAAAAGCGTCACAATATTTTCTTCCAGGCATTGTTTTCAACCCATTTCGGGTTAAAATACTGCTCCGACGATTATACGATGCTACCTTATTTATGTTATCATTTTTTATGTAAAATGTGTTCGAGTACCGACAAAGCAATTGTTTTAAAACGCGCATGGAGCAATCATCGTTCCCATTGGTGTTCATTAATGGCAGACTTTTTTAATTTCTCCACTTTTTTGCCAACACTATAGCCGCAACTGTTGCCCTTAACGTCGAAATAGGAGACTCGCCAGGACCTTCGTGGCGGTGCTAGATGACTGTTTCACAATGCTGTTTAGCTTCGGCTTGCATCAATTTAGCTCGAACGCTGTAGCCGTCGAAAGCATACATTCACTGGGCCGTTCGTTTGTTGGCCTGTTATCACGCGTCGGAATCAGATGGCGCATTATTATTACGTCAGAGTTACGATGTCTTATCTGACTACCGCCGTATAACAATACCAGCCGAAAGGATCTCCGCGTAACAATACAGATTCGGGATCGAAAAAGTTGACCTTCCATACAACTTTACGCGCCGTGCGGATAGGGCAAAGTGCACGCAGCAGACTACATGCAAAGGCATGGCTACTTCTTTCTTTGTCACGCACGCTTATTGTTAATGAAGCTACATAATAATCGAAACTAGGGGTACATACAAATATTCAGGTATTTAGCTATGCAGTTATACATGTTATCGGCAATCCATCCTCTCTTCTTCGTGAAAAGAGACGTAACAAAGACAAAGCAGCTCGATTTGATGTTTATGATGACGACGGGACACAAGCTCCCGATGATGTAAAAAACGATCGGAGAACTACTATGTCTTTTGGGGTGGTCTAAATTATTCTTTATTTGGACAAACAGGACGAGTGTATGGAGCGGGTTCGCCTACGAGGTCGACTGGCTGACTGACGTTGTGTTTTTTTGAACCGATACGGGCGAAGGCGTCAATTAGGGTGAAATGATCTTAATGTTTTTATTATTAGAGTCCAATGGTTTTCAGTTGTTATTTATTTTATTTGGCTAAAATATGCTATGGACGGTAATGGTAAGGCGGTAGTGCGTACAACAAGGAATAATCGGCTTTTTGGGTAAAATGTGCAGTCTTACATATTGTGGGTGAGTAACCTTTTGATAGCTGGAGATCAACCACGTCTTGGTATTGCCAGATTAGATGTGTTGCATCTTT